CAGGGAGACGGGGAGGGGGGCAGCTCCCCTCCTGTCCCCCCGAAACGCTTCCTCTTGCCCCTTCCTTGGGTCCCACTGCGGAAGGGATCCAAAGGGGCGATCATCCCCTCGCTGCCCCTCCCATAAGGATCGGAGGGGAAATCACTCGTTCCTCCAGGTGCCTCCTGCTAAAAGGTGCAAAAGGGAAATCTGCCTAGACTCGCAGATATCCCTCGCCTCCCACGCAGATCAGAGGAGAACCGCTCCTTCCCCCGCCTGCTGCATAGAGGTGCAATGGGAAATCTGCCCCTTGTAGAGGAGAAGATTGGGGGAGAACCCCCTTCTGCACTCCCCAAATAGCATGTGCCCCTTCCTGCTTAGGAGGCACTGGGGAACCTACTGGTGCGGGTAGCTTCAAGTGACCAACTGCGGGGGAGGGGGAAGACACCGCCCCTAGCTGCCAGCAGCTGGGGCTGATCTCTGAATGAAAGGGCAAAGCCTGAGTGCACTGACCGAGGCAGGAGAGCAGGCGGCTGCAGCCCATTTTCCAGCCAGGCGGTGCAGCGGGTGAGCGAGAGGGGCTTGGGAGCTGTAGATCACGACTAGGACCCGCAGAACTGAGAGCGAAACGGTAGCAGCTTGGCTGTATCTCCATCCCAGGCACTCAGCAGATCTGTCGTTTCTTGGATTCCTTTTGCCTTTACTTCTTGCTCCTTAAAGCCAAAGGTGGGGAGAGTAGCTTCTTTTTGCTTTCCCCTGTTGGCACAAGAAGACTAATTAAAAATGCTATACTAGTAATGAGTTAATTAAATCTTTTGAAAGGCTGAATGCATTAATGCTTCTGAAGCTTTAACTTCTGCTGGAAGATTAAACAGGTCTGACTTTTATTTTGGCTTTGGAGCTATTCCTGTGCTGTTTCAGCTGCTGTCTTCTTTACTAGTTGTAGATTTGCAAAGAAAGCAGTTAAAATACAGATTTTTTTTGTTCTTTTTGGGGGTGAGGGGAACATTCTTAAGTTATTGAATTTTTTGTAAAGAGTGTGTTGAAAGGAACATATGGCTTGGATAATCTTGCTAGGATAGCAATTAACTCATTGATGTAGATTCAATTTTCTTATTCAGAATGGTTCTGCACTCAAGAATATGTTGATATCTGTGCCATCAGAAAACAATACCTTCTGGAGAGAAGCATCCCAATACAAACAAAAGATTTCTCCCCTCCCCCTTTATTTTATGGTATATATGACCAAGAGCAACTTCCTACAGTATTTTTTCCCCAGAAGGCTACTTTAGGAAGGCAGCCCATTGCTACATTTTTGGTTTTTACAAAGGAATTGAGGTTTGTTGGACACTGTAGATTTCTGTAACTTGCATGGTTATTTATGTTTTTAAGTAAAGGAGGATATTTGTATTTGCTTATGATGAATCAGTTACAAATCTCTTATTTGTTGGTAGGCCCTGATCCTACAACTTGAATCTTAAATATGGCCTGCTATATCTCTGTGCAGCCTTAATGAAGTCAGTAGGCTGTTTAGGAGTATAGTGGCCCACCTGCACAGATCCAGTTACAGGACTGGAGCCTTGGATCCCAATCCTGCAAAGATTTAATCTAATTGAAGTTCATGGGGATAATTAGAATGATTAAAATTAAGACAATGGGTAAATCTTGGCAGGACTGGGGCTTTAGGATATAAATTCTTTAAAAGTAGTGGTCGTGTCTTTGTATCTGTTTGCAGAACGTAGTACAATGGGGCCCCGAAGCTTCTGACTGTTATTAAATAGTGATATTCAGTGATGCGGCACTATAGTAGCCTTAAAATTGTTAAGTGTTCTGTGATGTCTCAAAGTGTACTTATTGGAAAAAAATATGAATTTATTTTAAACCAGATTATTGTGATATATTGATTCTGCCTTTACACCAATCTTCTACCAACTAAATTAACATTTCACGGCTTTGGGATTAGATTTTGGTTGGGATAGAGCAGAAACTCCTTAGTTTTTGTTGGGAGAGAACTGGGACATGAAACTGAACCACTAATTATCTTAAATGTTTTGGCTAGTGAACCCTTTTGTTCAAATGTTCTTCAAGCACTAGGATTTCTATTCTCTTGCATTAATATTTTTAAAGGAAAACAATGGTAACAAGATGCTTTCTTATTTTTAGTGCAGCTGGATGCAAATTAACATAAGCACAAAGGGTTGGGAACATGACCTTAAGAGGGCATTCACTGTATGTCCAGAGGAAATATGAATATCAATTAAATTGGTATGTGATCCTCTGGACTCAATCTAAGTTGGTGCTGAGATGGTTAAAAAGTAAAAATTGGAATATAAAGAACTTGTGAGAGACTGCTTTTTATGGTTCAGAGGACCTTTCATGCAGGGAGACGCTGTCCTTACTTGCACTGGTTATGTCATGCTCTCACAGTATGGCATAACAAGATGTGACTGATGCAGTCTCATGTTCACAGTGGAATCACTGGAGGAAGAAAAGTTTTTACTGCTGTGATTTAAGGGTATCTTCAAAAGTATTTCTTGCATGTGTTGCTATTGTTGAGATTAAAGATGGTGTACAAGCTTCGAGTTACACATTGACAATAATAGGTGTGCTGCCACAGACCAGGAAGAATCTGCAGCTCAGAGCAGAAGTTAGAAATTGCTCACTATTTCTGTATGAAATAAGTTTTGTGGTCTCAAATGATGTCCGAGTGATTGAGTATAAAAGCATCACCACAACTGCATTAATAGGCACTCTTCTGTGTGCAGTTTCAACAGAGGGCAATGGCTGAATGGGCCACAGAAAATGAGCTAATCACTCATGCCTAGAGGTGGTCCCTTCAAAATATTGTGGAGGAACATTAGTGCAGTGAGTGTCTGAGGCTTCATTTGCATTGTGTGTGTTTTTCTTTGGATCAGTGGGGTAGGGGGCCCTCACTCTATGAAGATAATGTAGCACCTTTTATGAGGTGCAGCACTGTACTAATTCAGTCAGAAAAACCAGTCAGCTGACAAAACACTACTACCTGAATCCAGAGGCACTACAACACAGATGTTCACATACATTTTGGGCTGACACTTTGTAGTAAGCTGTGGTTTCAACCTAGAAGACAAATTCTTACCAGATGTATTAAAGGGACTTGTCTTGCTCTTACAACTTCGTAGTATTCAAAATAGAGCATTAATCTCAGAGGGGTAGCTGTGTTAGTTTGTAACTGAAAGAACTTAAACAGTGCTAGCACAATAATATCTCCCTCTTAGCTGAAGTCACTAGTAAAACTCCCACTGCTTTAAATGGAAGTAGAATTCAGCCTTTTGTCATACGCTAGACCAGATTTAATAAATGCGCTCCCTCTGATTTCCACCTTACAGAAACCTCAGCAGACCCTGGTTTTCCTTGGGGAAATGTCAGTGCTACTATTCCCTTGATTTTTTTTCCTGCACAAAAATTAATATTTTAAAATTATCTGGGTTGCTAAACTATTAGAGATGTCAAACTATTAACATTTTCTCTCTCAAAGTAATTTTATAGCCTGTTCTTTTATGTGCTTAAATAGAAGCCTCATCCTGAGAGTATTCAATAGTGAAAGCACCCACGGAAGTAAAAGGAAGTCATGGGTACATAGCAACTCTTAGGATCAGATACTATACCACAGTAGTTCTTGACCAATACATCCTAATGTCCCAGCAGGCTTATGGTTTGAAATTTTAATTATAAAAATATATTTTGTACATTCACTAACCAATACTTTCCTAGGACTTAATATTCAGGGACCATCTAAATACCTGCGTTTTCTCCAGGGCAAAGGGAGACTCTTCTGTCATAACTTGCTATGACAGAGGAGTTCATGCTGGTGCCACCTTGAGATTGTGGAACCAATATATGAGCAGAGTTGGTTTTGTGTGTGTGTGTGGTCACCTCTCCCCTCAACACTGACTTTTTTTCTCCTGAATTTAGTGGAAGTTTGAGTCCACCCATGTTCCTTAGTGGCTAAATTGCTGTTCTAGTTATTGGCATTGCCAATTAACTACTGAAAATTCCTTCCACTTTGTTTTCTTATACTATTCCTGTTAACCACTGATCTGTGGCTTATCACCCTCTATGTTCCCCATCCCTGTCCTAAAGCCTGGGGGCTGCTTGTGGCCTGCAGCTTGCCTGGATCTGGTCTCCGAGGTTCAGGGCACCTTCCCCCAGCATTGGGGAGCCTGTGCTGGTGTTCCAGCCCCCCTTTCCCTCCTCATGGCACTGGAGCACACACAATCTACTGG